GGACTCTGGCCAGTGCCATGCACTCTTGGAAGTGAATTATGTTCAAAACCTTTAAAAATCATTATTACCCAAGTAGAGTAAACCCACATTGAAATGACTATACCAAAGTTAGCCATGCCCATTAATTTCAATGGGTGTACTTTGAGTATGGCTAACCCATAATTGTTAAGGGTTGTATTCAATATAAATCATACTCATAGCAGACCCATGGAAATGAATCTACCCAAGTTAGTCATGTCAATTAATTTCAATGGGTCAACCCAAGTAGAGCATAGCTGGATACAACACTAAGAAAAGAAAACATTTTACTATTAACTTTTGGTAAACCATTTTGATACTGCCACCCCTTCCTCTCAACCAACAGTATTTTGTAATCCATTATGATCACATTTTACTATTCATCTAGTTAATTAGTCCTTTATAATTCATGGTGTTGATAGCTGGAATACTCAACAAAAGCGTGGGTTTTTTTTGGGAAAAAAAATACAATAAAACTTAATGGCGAACAAAATAGTGGAGAGAGTAAGAATTAAAACAAAAGCAGCATAATTATGTATAACATCACATACTGATTTATTTTTTAAAATTTCACCAATTGCCCCTTTTAAATGCTAAATCAAAGGCTGAACTGGTTAGGTCCATTATAAGTTATCATTATAAATTTTCTTAAAGCGATGAAAGCAAAGTATTTCATTGTGAAGCACTATTGTGGCACCCAATCCTGTATGGGCAAGCCCCTGTAATTCCTCATTAAAGCTCCTCTCACATACACTGTGTTGTTTGTCAAGCTCAAACTGATTAATATTCAAAGAGAAGTCCTAAATATAGTAAACTGGAGAGCTAACCACAGCAAACTTTCTAGGCTATCATTACTATGAAACCAGCCAGCTGAAACATTTTTTAAGAATACAGACTGTATATGCTGTTTATTTTCTAGATTACTTGAGAAGCAGTTTTGCAACTTGAACTTCTAGAGAAAGGATTACCCAGGCTCTACCTCAGCAATTCAAACTCCCAAACTGGGAAGAAAGAAAGGGGGGGGGAGTTTGCTTGCCTGAAATAACTTTTAAATGAAGACCCCTTTTTTTAGTTGCTTTTTTGTTATGTTGTGCATTGTACAGCCTAGCAATGATATTAGTTCTAGTGTGGGAAAATATTATAATTGAGATCTGGTAAGTTATTTGCAGACTTCAAGTTTTTCTTTACACTGTGCTGACATTTAGCATAGCCCTAGTGAGGAAAACAATACTGCCATTCATGGCTCTAGACGTAGGTTTCAATCGACTTAAGCGGGCACAATGAAACTTGGTCATTCACTGGTTACCCATATTGTGTTCTCAAATTTTCTCTCAGCAAAAGTATAATGACTCAGTATTGTATGGCCGCATAGACAAGGGCTCAGAACAAGAGACACTAGTTTTGTCTGACGGTGTGAGAAAGTCGTGAAGGGATCTTTTCTTCCAGATGGTGTTAAATTCAGCTGCCTTTTTAACATTGGCCTTGCAGAGCAATCTGGTGCTCTCTTTTCAAAAAAGAATGAGGCTGGTTCCCACTAGTTAACATGCATACTCACGCAAGCCTGCAACTTCACTCCCAACTGTTTTACAATGCAATGGTATGCTAAATAAATGTGATCTGGGCTCTTCCAGTGTTAAAGCTAGCCATCAAAGGCCTGCTCAGATTATATTTATACTTCTGTGGACTAAGCTTTATGTTTGCAGGCTATTTCAAGCTCTCAAAAGAAATATCACCTTACTGCCACAAAATCATTTTGACTGAAATATTGTAAATCACAAACCAAACTGAACTTTTCTCACAATTGTTATATAGGTTGACAGTATGCGGAGTAAAAATAATAATGAATAAATGAACTTAACCTACTTTGTGTCAAATCGGTGGAAGAGAAATAATAAATAATAATAAAATAACATTAAAATGTATTTTATTGATTGATACTCATGTAACATTAGCAGGGTACAAAACAATTCTGATGTGACAATGGCTAACACAGGATTATATCATAAAGGGGGGGGGGGAAGAATCCTTAGGTGCTTTCCTTAACAAACGTACAGAAAAGGACCAAGAGGTAAATAAGATCTCATTTCACAAAGTAAAAGTAATTTCACTCCACTAGGTTTTTTGTTTGGTTTTTTTGTTTTTGCTAATCAAAAGATTTCCCCAGACAACATCTTGTTACCTTAATTGAACCTCTTTAAGAAAACTACACACTTTGTAATGTAAATGTTAATTGTAGTAGGCAATGACCCTAGGTAAACAGCACCCCTGGACATGCAGTAAAGAAGAGGGGGAAGGCAGCAAAGCACTTAACAATGAGAGGCTGGTCACACAAACAGAACTTCCAAAGTAAATAAACAAGGGGACTGTTCATTGGTCACTAGAGTAGTAAACTCTGGCACGTGCACAGCAGCCAAAACGGCTCTTTTGTAAACAGTCTCGCCATCCAAAATTCAGCGCAAAGTACTGTAACAAGCTAAGCTCCTTAAAACTAAGCTCTTGCAAAATCATTTATGTCTGCAGGCCACGGTGCCTTACTTTAAAGCCACATCCTTGCTTTTATTTTATTTTTAAATGCCAAGTGCATGTCATTACTGGCTGCAAGTTTATATGCTGGGGCTTACTGCTGATTAAAAACACATAGGAATTTGCTATCACATGTGTTACACATGCACACACATATGCACAGGGTGTATTCTGGCCTAGGGTGGCTCTGAAGTTTATCAGAAATAAAGAGTCTGCTTTCTTATCTTGGGAGCATCCCAGGGGCAAAGACTGCACTTCCAAAACAAGCTGATTTAAATATAATTTCTTTTAAAAAATATTGCAAAGTGCAGTAATTAAAATTAAAATTAAATATTGGGGAGGGGGTGTTTGTTAGAGAGGGAGAGGATTTGCCAAGGAAATATATAAACACCTTGCTTCCCACCACTTTTCTTTTGTGAGCTTCACTGTAGAAAATTTCCATCTCAGAAGCAAAGCTACATTTGATTATGAGTAGCTGAAACAGTGGTTATAGAATTAACAGAAACAGACAGTCTGCAGCTACAGAACAGTTGGGGTCCCCACTTGGGAGCCTGCAGATGGCTGTGGGTGGGAAATGCCTCCACTTTCTTAAGGGATGGAGATGAGTCTGGTGTGGTGCACTTGATGTTTTTTTCATAGGCAACCCCCACAGGGCTGTCTGTCATAGGCTGCCGGGCCCTTAGCTTTGCCACTTGCCCCCGAGCGTGGGAATGGGAGCGTCCAGTCGTTCACATCTCAGGCATTCCGTTTAACGGAATCAATTAGGCAAGACCAGACCCCTCAGATTCCCCACCCCCTTGCCTTCTCTCTCTCTCTCTCTCTCTCTCTTTTGGTCAGGTCTATATACGTCCTAATTATTTCAGTTTGAGATGCCTGAGCAGTTTCCTGGATAGATCTGATCATCCTTAAACAAGAAGAGAGCAGGCGCACACGTGGGTTTTGGCGTAAATGTCACTTTCATTTCTAATACTAGACGCAGAATAAGACACAGACTACTTTTTAACACTTTGACAAGGGCAGAGGCAGTCTCGTCTCCATCACGTTTTTCTGCTTCAGTAGCTTCCTCAAGGAAACCCTTTTGGAACAGAGAAGCATCTGTGCTTGCATTTTGAATAGAAGACTGGTCGGCTGGTGGATTCCGCCCCCCCCCCAATTTTTTTAATAATAATAGTAATGGTAATAGTAATCAACCTTCAGCTTCCTCCTCCCCCCCCTCCCAGTTTTGTGGAACTCTACCAGATCCTTGGTAGACCGAAATGATTAACCTAGCCTTATTCTTCAATCCAAATGTTTATTTTTTCATTTTAGGCTTTGGCTTTCGTCTCTTGGAATAACAACATACCCAGCAACACTACAAAACTTTTTAAAGTTTCACAGGCAGAGTTTGACCCTACACACAAACACACACACACACCTTAAAAATAAATTATACTTTAAAAGCACACAGGCCACAGCATTATGCTTCCAAACACATGCTAATCGTTTCTCAATGTTTAGCAAAGACTGCAGTCTTGTACACACTTACCCAGGAGTAAGTTTCATTGAACTCAATGGAACTTGCTTCTGAAGAAGCGTGCAACCGCTGGAAAATAATTACATCAGAACTTAAAGTATTAACTTAATCATCCCCCACCTCCCAGAACAGCAAAAACTTGCACATGCATTTGTTTACCATGAGCACCATATCCTCTTTGCAGCGTATGGTTTACTCTTCATCATCCTGTGCCTGTCATCTTGTACATGTATACATGTACAGATAGATTTGGCACTCGTATGTCACTGAATTTCGTCCTCTCTCTCTCTCGCCTTGAGCTGTAGAAAAGGTGCCATTCAATAAGAATTCCTGACATGGCTGGGTCTGTCTCTTGCTGGAGTTTCTCGTTTCCTTGTGCAGCACGAAGATCATGAAGGAGTTTTTACTTTCGGTTATCTAGCTTTATGAAGACCAACACACTCATACAGCTAGATAACCAAAGATAACAACTCGCTTCCCTCATATGCTCTGAGGTCGACTGGAGGGTCTTTTCCGCCCCTCCTTCTCTAGAACCCAGATTGTTTCTGCAAATAGACTTCTCCAAGAACACCAGCCGTGCCTTAAAATATTCATCCTTTCAGCGCAATTGTCACCTGCTTCACAGTGTCTGGACTTGTGTGTGCTTCTAATACCACATCCCAAGCAGATCCGTCGCCTTCAAAGTTTTATTCCGAACTTTTCTTGTCTCTTTCTCTTTTACCCCCGTCCTCTCTCTTTCTCCCTCCTTTAAAGCCAGCGATTTCCGGCAGCGATGGACCAACTATTCATCTGTTTAATATCAGAAAGTAAAACCAGCTATTAAGGTGCATCAAGCTGTTAAGAGTGCGAAGCATCCATCCCTCCACAGGCCTCTATTTGCATTGTAAATTGCTTCATTCTCGTGAAAAGTCTTTAGCCTCTATAAAGATGTAAAGCCATCGGCAATTTCCAGCGCAGAGCAGGGAGGAAGCAGGGGGTGGGGGAGTGTCTCCCATTTCAGCAGAAATTGACAAGATGATGGTGGTGGTGCGAGGATCCAGCTCTCCCTCCTGATCCCTTTCGCGGATTATGCATCAGAGCGCTCTTAAAAATTCTTATTTTAACCAAATGGTGGCAGCAAATATCTTGCGGGTTTTGAAGGGGAGGTGGGGGAGGAAGCAACCTGGCAGATCCACGATTTCTCAGGATTCCCAGAGCTGCTGCTGCGCATGAGGAGCTGCAGGTCTTGCTGGCTGGCTTGCTGCTGCTGCTGCTGCCCCCGGTCTGAAAGAAGGAGAAAAGGGCTATCATTGGAGGGCTTGCAGTGCCAAAAAATGTTGACCAGCCCGGCAAGGTCAGAGGTCCTGGACCGCGGGAGACCAAGGTAATGATGATGTCACGAGGAAGCTCAAGTACACCCGGTTATTGCTATGCATGAGCGATCAGCGATCTGCCCCCTCCGCGCCATGGGGAAGAGAGGTGGCGGCGGCGGCAGCAGCGGCAGCAGCACCCTCGGAACACCAGTCCTACTCTCAACCAGCACAGGATCGCCTTCTCTAGCGCTACCGGGAGGAGAGAGAGGGGGCGGGAAATATATATATATATATATATATATATATATATCGCGGCCTTTTACCTTCCCCGTTGCTAGCGCAGATCTCTCTAATATCCAAAGACTAGGAGGAATCTCTCTCTAAGGACAGATAAAAGCGTTTCAGGTCGGGGGAGGCGGGGAGCGGCATGGAAATAGGGCGGGGTGGGGAAAGGAGAGGAGAGGCGCCTTTGCCTGCATATCTCTCTCTCTCTCTCTCTCTCTCTCTCTCTCTCTCTCTCTCTCTCTCTCTCTCTCTCTTCTGGCAGACTCTGCATGTGCTGTGCAGGGAGATGTGTGTGACTGAGCCAGGCACTCGCGGCTCGCTGCTGCTGCTGCTGCTGCTGCGACGACTGCTTAAAGCAGGGCCTGCTTTCTGGGACTGGGAATCTACGCGCGTCTTTACGCAGCGCGAGCGGAGGTGCCATTGCATTGCTAATTCGCTCTGCCCGTCTGGCGCTTTGGAAATGGCTTCACTTCTCGCTCCCTGCTCGGGGGCTACAAGCCCCTCTCCGCCAGTGCTACTTGCACCGTGGAGGTTGCACAACGCAGTTTACGCGCGCGGGGAGGGGGGGGCGGATGCTGCAAAGAGCAGGCTGCTCAAGCCTCGCTCCCTCTCTTCCTTTCCGAGCTGCTCTCTGTTTCCAGCAAATCCCCCTCTCCAACCGACGCGCGCTCCCGCTCGCCCTTTTCACACATAGCACATTTCTCCCGTCTTTCCCTTGACCCTTCCCAGCTCTGGGCAGAGCAGCGCAAGCGAACATGCGGCTTTCCTTTCCAATTTTAATGCATCCGTTTCATTTGAAGATGTGTCCAGACACAGCGAAAATGTACTCTGGGTTGTTTTTCAAACTTCCTACTGCTGCTGATGGCAATGGCAATGGCAAGCAGTATGCCCAGGGAAGCCCTCCATCCTGAAAGGTTCATAAAGGTTCAGCCTCTCCCCATTCCCCTAACCTCCCAGCAGGCATTCAGAAAGGGGCATAAGGGACATTACCCTGTGAATTCCTGCTACAGAATTTGGACAGGGAGATTTTATATATTCTTCCCAGTGTAAAGTGCAAACATTACAGGCCCTCTTGATTATATGGGAAACAATGAATCTCACGGCAGAGAGCTGCGCTGTTTACTGATCAAATTAATAAATGCACTTCAACCGCTTGGCAGTTTATATTTAAACATTCAGCAGAGCTATGTCTGCCCCCACACTCCAAAAGGAACCAGGAGTCCTGCTGTTGCATGTTAAGGTATAGTATGTTAAGGGCAAAAGGAAACAATATATACTATACTGTTCAATATAGTCCAGGATTGTTTAGAGGACAGTCTTCAGAGTGCATTTTAAAAAGGCATATTTCCTACAATGTGCCATACCTGCATGAGTTAGCATTTATTTTCTCCTTCACATATAAAAAAGGCAACATTTGTGTATGTGTGTGTGCTCGCGCGCCTGTGTGCGATACCTACGTGTATGTGCACTCCACACCCACACACCAACCACAACCAGCCATCATCACCATATTAACGTGCTTGCATTATACTTGTGTGTTTTCCAGGGTATCTAACCTGCATGCCTGTCACTACCCTGAAGGGCGAAATCTGTGGGGTTTTGTGGAGCGAGACATGTCTACTTTCCCAATGTCTACTTTCAATACTCGAAATTAGACTTGTCAACGGCTAAAGATGAAGGCTGCCATATATATACAGGCAAAAGGAAAGCAAAATAAAGTAATGGCAAGGCAAAGTCCCCGATTAATTGATTGAAATGATTCCTAGGTTGATGCTACCTATAAATGTTCCAAAAACAAAGCACCTTCACAACTGGCGATGCACTCAAGCCACAACTGTTTCCATTCAGTGTTCTCCCTGTATTGTTAATTATGCATTGTGTAATGCCATAGTCAGGTAAACCACGCTTACGGCGTCAGTGTCATGTTATATAAGACGACACGAGAAGGCCATGCCTCTGTTTTTCCACAGACAGAACAAAATGGTGAGGATTCCTATGTACAGTGCAGCGAGCTGCGCTTTTTTTTTTTTAACCATCTGAGGCTGCATAGGTACCAGCGGCATTAGGGAGTTGAGCAGCAATATGTATAAAGACACACGTTCATTCTGATGGTCTGTAGAAGTATAATGAGCTTCTTTGAATTGGCAGATACACAGAACAAAGCCCTGCCCCCCCCCCCCACTTTATTTCGCAGTAGCTAGAGGCAGCAGTGCGAGTGATCGGGCATGTGCTGTAAGAGACCAGGCTTATGAGCTGATGCATTAAAATCAGAGACAAGAACATTCAGATAACGTGAGGTCTCTCTGGGCATGCTATACATATTGGCATATATACACGTGTGTACACGCGCCTGAATGCGTTTAAAATGAAGTTGGCTAAGGAGGCAAGCCTTGGCTCTTATTTATTTTGACGCTGCCTTCAGGATCCATTGAATTCAATGGGACTTCTGCTACTATTCACCTCCTGCACTTAAAAAGAGAATGACTTGTTTTCCTCTATCAGTTACGACGTAGATCAAGAAACACACCTGTGTCGTTTTGCAGATCGATAGCCTTTGGAGCCCTCATGACGTGAAAACAGCTAACGTCACAAGGATGACCTTGCTGATCATTAAACACAGAAAGGATCGCCCTCCCTGCTTCTCCTTTGCTTTGCAGGTGTCTAGGAAATCCACACGTTATTCGAAATATCTTCACATGGAAGAATTATCAGTTGCTTTCAATGGGATTTCCAATTACGTGTGTTTAAGACTAAGGTGTTGTTAAGGCAGCGTAGAAAACCCCTGACGTCTCTGAATGTCTACAGTGCCTATGAATCAATTGTTCTCTCCAGGTATTCTTTACAATTCCGTATTTCCGTAAAATAAACCGCATTTGGTTAAGCAGCAGATGCAGCCTTTGGCAATGCTAAACTGCCCACACCGCCATGTTGCTGGGTTTTGTTTTGTTTTTCATTATAGGCATTTCCAGTAAGTGGGTTAGCCTTATTTTAAAATAAAAATTCGCCGAGAACGATGGAATCGCCATTTTAAAGCAATCTGCGTTATTTGAAAGATCCTGAACTCTAACTAGGCTCTCTAATAAATGGCCTGTAGATTTGGATGTGATTGCCATGCTTGTTTTCTAATCTCTTTATGGGTCTCCAGATGGTTGTGACGTAAAGGCGGAGAATCCTGCAAGGGGTTCCTTTGGAATAAACAAGCGCTGTTAACCTGAGAGTGGATCTTATCTGTTGCACCTCCTACGAACCTAAATTCTGCTTTTGGGACAAGTCCTCCGGTTTCATGGTAGGAAAGGGGGTGTCTATATAGGAAGCCCACTAGGCTCCCATGAAAGGATGCCCATAATCCCGAGACTGAAGAGCACACACTCCAATCCCTGATTCTTCGATAATTCACTTACAGCTCAATTCTGCACATGGCTACTAAAAAGTAAGTCCAATTGAATTCAATGGAACTTACTCAGAGGAAACTGGATTGCAGCCTTAAACGTAAACTGCAATCCTCTCTTTGGAGCCCCGTGTAAAGTCATTTCATTCCTCGAATCTGCATGCCCCAAGAAGTCTCGTTGTACCTGCTTGGCTTTTTATTGCAATCCTGATATTGGTTTCTATACCTACTGTACCTTCCACAAACAATATATTTACGACCATATGTCTGCAGTATTGCCACACCTAATATCCAGGGCGCGAAAGGTAAAGGGTCTGAAAATGTCTCTCAGAGGCAAATGTTTTGCTAATTTTTTGTGCTGTTGCTTATTCGGCAGCCACGTACATTTCTTAATTTAATCATTAGGTTTAAAAGGGATTACCTTTATGTGCTGATTGTCACTCCATTTGATGGTCGCTTTCTGTCTGGCTCTGGAAAATAGACAAAAAGAGAGAGAGGCGAACGATCATTTAAAAATAAATATTTATGTTTATTCATGGATTGTGCTAGTGCATTCTGATTCAAGGCCTGTATAGCAGCAGCAGCAGATCAGCCAACCCACTGAATCCTAGAGGCAAAATCCTCCAGGAAGTTCTCCTGCGCAACCCCCATGAAAATTAATGTGTTGGGGTAGGGCATTATCCTGCTGCCTGCACCAGCTCTCGTCATGAGGGCTGCTCAGGGGAACTTCTTGATGGATTGAGACCCGTGGCTCCAAACTGCATTTTCCAAAGAGCTGCTAATATTATTTTCTTAAGATGAACCTATATACTGAACAGGAAAAGAAAACCAGGGGTGTATGTTCTCTTCTGGTTTAGAAGAGTTAAATATTTCATTTTAGATATATATGTATATATCCTCAGTGGTAAACCGGGATAGAAAGCCCAGAATATGAGAGAAGGGAGGCCGAATTTCTAAACTGAGATTATAAGAATAGCTTGATTTGTGGGGTGGGAGGCAGGGAAGGCAGAGGCGTCTGTATTTACATGCTGTAGGCTGCCAGTTGCTTAATAAAGGTCGGAGGCTCCACCTAGCCTCCACTTTCAAAATATGCAAAACGCGCTCTCGCTCTCTCTGGGTTTTCAAGCCTCGCAGGTTCAGATCGCGGCTGGCTTCATGGAGCTGCTTGGCTCTAAACAGACTCAGGCTGGTTACAGATTTACTCAAAGAAGAGCTGTGCTCGTGCATGTATTCCTTCTCGCCACCTCCACCCCCACTCCACCCCTCTTCTTTGCATCACAGGATGGTGTTAATCACTTCAGCCAAAAAGGGAGGGTGGAGAGAAAGGGGGTGTCTTAATGCTACTCCCAATCAATCACGTGTGTTAAAAAAATAAAAAAAAGGACGAGAAGCACTATTTGCTCTTTTCCCTGAATATACTGGGTATCCTTCTTCAGTCTCCTCTGCCACCTTTTTTTTTTTTTTTAATGAGTCCTCTTGCGTAAATACATGGTTCTCGACTTTGTTCCGCGCTGGAGCTGGCGAACTGGATGTGCTTAGAGTGAGTAGCATTCAAGGTGGATGGGAGGAGAGAGCGTGGAGGCGAAACTCCACCGGCTTAATAGCAACCTGTGCTTTGGATGCTCCAAGACTCCGGCAGCTCAGCGAAGCCAGGCAATCTGGGAGTTAGGCCGATCTAGAACCCAACGCTAGCTGAACCGACTCAAATCCAAGGGCGACATCGGCTCCAAAACCTATCACCTAAGTCGGTCTACGACGCAAACCTGTGTGTGTGCCTGCTTAAGGCAAGCCCCATTGATTTACTCCCAAGTAAGCTTGTACAGGATTTGGGCCTTAACTGACTTGTGCATGGAGCTGTTCGCAACTCTCCCAAGCTATCACACTCCTCGCAAGCGCTCTCGAACCCACAACCCGAGCGTCTCATTCAGAACTAGCAAAACCAATGAAAACGTTGCCAGCGACTTCTAATCTACACCTCGAAAGCTCCTTGCAAACAATGCCAAGGTAAATAAATCCACATACACTTGCGAGGCAAATTCACGTTGCCATAAATTTAATGACACTACTTTCTTTATAAATTTGGCAGTCCGAGTAGGGAATGAGTTTCCAATTAGGAATTCATTAGACATATTATTTCACCAGTCATGCCTATTTGAAGTTACAGAAAGAACTGCTTCTCTAGGCGTAAGACACGACAACAACAGCTCTCCTCACTCTTTTCAACCCTCATGCAAGTAAATAATATACCTTTCAATTGGTATAGCCACAAAAGTCCAAGTTGAGGGGATCAAAGGGAGGTGCTAAGTCGGGAAGTTTGGATATAAATACATTGTGAGAAAACGCCTCCCTTGCACCTTTCTCTAAAATAAGCAAATGTGCAGCCAGAGTTAATTTCACCGAACACTTTCTCTTCCCATTTTTAACTGTTCTCTCTCTCTCTTCCTCCCCCCTCCTTCGCTGTCAATCTGTGTGCTAATTAATAGTCCCCTCGTCCCGAGGAAGTGCCTGCAACGCCAACAGGTTTCATATCACACGTCCAAAATCATCAGAAGCTCTCCGGTTAACCCATAAAGCTCTCCACTTCTGTTGATCTTCCTCCTCGGTTCCAGGGAAAGTCAATGGGAGCTCTAACAATGCAACCTGTTCAATGAAGCAACTATCTCACTCTTCCTCTTTCTAGCCCTGAACCTGACACAGACACCGATGGAGTTCACGTTCAGAGTAACTAACACACACACACACACACACACACACACCGCTCGTGAATCAGATGAACAACTGTAGCATAAAGTTCTCGCATAGTCCACACTTCCTCAGTTTCCCCACATTTAGTTTATAAAGAAGGCTAGTCGTGAGAAGTCGGCAGATATACTTACTTTTTCTCGTTTCTTCTCGTTCCAACAGATGGGGGGGGGAGGAGGGAGGGGGAAAGGACAGTCTGATCCTAGATCTTAGGTGAATGTGGTGGAATCTTCGGCAAGCAACAAGGATTCCTTAGCCAAAACTTCCTTTTAAATCGCAGAAAGCAGTTTCAAAGTCTCCCAAGATTCGGATCATCCCTTTCGTCATCTCTATTTATAACTGGCTTTTTAAAGTTCCATCGTAGAACACTTGCACGACTGGATTCTAAAATGGGTCCTTTTCCATCCAGAGGGGGGTGAGAATGAAGAGGGGATTTAAACAAACAGTTTTCTTTTCCCAATACAGCTTGCACAAAGCGCCAGAGTAGAAAGTGAAGTATTGTATGTGTGAGCCACTCTGCAAGTTTTTTTTTTAACGGGGGCGGGGGGGGGGATTGGCGAGCTCTAGCCCAGCCCTCTCTGGAAAGGAGGACGTGCTCTGAAATTCAACCAGTTTCCCCAACGCTTTTGTTGCTCTCGAACTGAAGCCCTATTGTTCGTCCATTGCCACGGTCTTTTTCAATCCCTGCTATACGTTATGCGTTGCCAGAGATAATGAATTTGCACCAAACCCTCTCCCAGCCCTTTTCTGACAGACGGAACAAATTAGAAATGTCTAGCCTAAACGGGAGCAATGGCTACATTTCCCTGTGGTGGAAGAGCAGGGAAATATGCATTTCTGCGTGGAATTCTTCTTTTCTTTTCTTTTTCAAAAACTGCCTTTGCATCAAGAGCCCGCCTTTAAAAACAAAACAAAAAACTTTTCACTTTCACGATTTTTCTTTTTAATGTTTCCTACCGAAGAACAGAGTTGCTCTCTATGCCTTCCTGCCTGCCTGCCTTCCCTTCTCACTCCTTTTTTCTTTCTTTCTTCAATTCTTGAGGCAACCGAGCTATTGTGAGTTTAAGCTGTTGCCTTCTCTGCAAAACACTCATGGCCATCTGAGTTTTTTGTAAACTTGCTCCGTGCTCTTCCGCGGTAGGTCAGGACTCTGTCGAACACTTGGTCTGCCTGGGCTGCCGGTACTTCAACATCGGCTTTCTTTTCCTTTTCTTAAACGCTTTTTAGGTAAAAGCCAACGGCACCAGGCTGCTCGAGTTGATGTCTTCGGCGCAGAAGGATTTGAACGGGCACCCGTCCTCCTTACTCACAGAGGCTGGCAAGAGAATGAGCCCCAGTACGGTTCATTTGGAAGAACGCGGGTGCAGGTTGCGCCCTATACACGCAAGTTTCAGTGCAATAGGATGCGAGCGAGCGCGTGTGCGTCTGTGTCCTAGGACACGGGTGTAGGACTGCGCAACGGAGAAGGCTAGCCCCTTGTGTGATTTCGGGTGCTCAGAGTGCATACAGGAATACTGACTTGTGAGTATGGCCAGGGTGTGCTGGGGCGTTGCTAAGGATTCCGCGCCTTGGGAGAGAAGCGCTTCGGTTGGCGCGTCTCCTTCCCGACGAGGTTTGCATGTGGACACGTTTCCCCAGCAGCAGGGCTGTGTCTGAGAGGCCGTTGGGTGTCGCTTGTAGGTGTGTCGCGAGATGTCCACAGCTGCGTGTTGGAGACGTGTGTCTGGGATAGAGAGGGGGGAGGCTTGCAGGGGTGGAGCCAGGCGAAGGGAGGGGGCACAGATTCAAATGAGCATCTCGTATGGAAATGTGGGCTGCCGGGAGGTGGGGGGGACGGGACGGGGAAGCCGTTAATGAGAAACCCAAGGAGGGAGAGGCGCCGTCTGAAAGCACAGACCTTTCTGCTCTGGCAGCAACTTTCCCGCCAAATGTAGCCTAAGGAGAGGCTGTCACTCGTGTTCTCGTCAATGGCTGCCATTGCCTCCTCTTTACACACCCACCACGGCAGGAGTATTCTGGCTGTTGCTTAGCTGCCTGCCCCAGCCTAATAAAGAGCGGAGAAAGAACACATTATTCGGGGGATAG